CAGGGAAGCTTCCAACAGTTAAAGTCGTAGTAAGACGAAGTAAAACTAGAAAGTTATGCTTTTTGTGTTGATTGTGTACAGATTACAGAGTATGCTGGCAGACACTCTGAAGTGACAACTTATACAGGGAAGCTTCCAACAGTTAAAGTCGTAGTAAGACGAAGTAAAACTAGAAAGTTATGCTTTTTGTGTTGATTGTGTACAGATTACAGAGTATGCTGGCAGACACTCTGAAGTGACAACTTATACAGGGAAGCTTCCGACAGTTAAAGTGAAATAAAACCATTTTTGTTGCGAAAGCTGCTTTTTAAATCAGCCAGTTATCACAATGGCTATTATAAAAAAGATATTATTCTCTTAAAATTCGTACGTCTTTATAAAATATTCTAGATAATAAAACTCGAAACAGGCGCGACAACAGTCAAAATATAACAACTGAATATCATGTTTAACACTGTAAACAGTATCACAGTAGTCATGATGTTTACACGATAAGAAAAAGAATCTGTATATGTTGTTTCCTTTCATTTACCTACTGCTGAACCATTGTATCTGAAGGCAAAGGCAGGAAGCTTGTAAATAAAAGTATTAATACCTCTCTTACAGTAGCGACAGATTCTGAGGAACCGATTTTTTTACAGGCAGTATTGCTTTCATTAGGCTGGATAGAGCGTGTTTGTTTGATCAACGTGACAAACCGTACTCAAGGGAATCTATGCTTGTCTGTCTGTTGAAGCTTCAGTCGAGATTGTGCCGAAGCACCCAAGACATTCTCTCTACAAACATTCATCTCTGTAATGTAACACCCAAGGCATTCTGTCTATAAACATTCACGTCTGTAATGTAATACCCAAGGCATTCTGTCCATAAATATTCCCTTTCTGTAATGTAACACGAAAGACATTCTGTCTATTAATATTCACGTCTGTAATTTAACACACAAGGCATTCTGTCTATAAATATTCACGTCTGTAATGTAACACCCAAGGCATTCTGTTTATAAATATGCACGTCTATAATCTAACACTCAAGACATTCTGTCTATTAATATTCACGTCTGTAGTGTAACAGACAAGGCATTCTGTCCATAAACATTCACGTCTGTAATGTAACAGACAAGGCATTCTGTCTATAAATATTCACGTCTGTAATGTAACAGACAAGGCATTCTGTCTATAAATATTCACGTCTATAATGTAACACACAAGGCATTCTGTCTATAAATATTCACGTCTATAATGTAACACACAAGGCATTACATACACCATTTGTGGTCTTCTTTCCAGGATAATAATATCTTTAAAAATGTTCAGATTATTGCTCTGTTGGTATACACAACAATAGAAAAGAATCAAGTAACCATTCTAAAAATCTTATCAATAACATCATTATCATATGTAGTGCAGAAATACTGGTAATATCAGGAGGTATATTATTCTGATTGACATGCTGTTCTTCTTCAGATCATCACCACCTTCATAACAGAGAGTGCATTTATAAACAGCAGCATCCGGGCTGTTGAAGACGAAAATCGGATTCTCTCGCAGTCTGGTGAACGATAGTGTATAACAATGGAGTTGAAACTTTCTTGGCTAAACATGTTTTTGGATCTATATTGAACAAAAACATTGTTGTAGCCTTATCATTTAAAAGTTACTGTTTACATGCCGAAGCCTAGCTAAGCATTAGAAACGAATGTACTTAGCATAGAGTTACGCAATCTGCAGTTTTATTCACACACTAATTTGCACATTATGGATTCAAAATCAGTTTCATGTAAAAATATCATTTTAAATATATCTTTTGCCTCCCACAAATCACAATACTTAAAAAGCCTTTCGCACGATATCAGAAGTCGTCAGTTTGACTGAATGATGGGAAACAAAACATTCTCTGAAACTCAAATTAGATGTGCAGTACAATACATTAAAAGTTATGGTTTTAAAAGTTTAAAATAACATTTTATCGACCAAATCTGTTGAATACCAATATAGTTGGAGCCCGGTTGAATAAACATGTTTTTAGATCTAATCTGTTGAACAATATAGTTGGAGCCTGTTCAAATAATCATGTACCTGGGTCTAAGTTGTTCAACAACAATGTAATTTCAGCCTGTTTAAATAATCATGTTCCTGGGTCTAATTTGTTGAACAACAATACAGTTACAGCCTGTTTAAATAATCATGTACCTGGGTCTAACTTGTTTAACAACAATGTAATTTCAGCCTGTTTAAATAATCATGTTCCTGGGTCTAATTTGTTGAACAACAATGTAGTTGCAGTCTGTTTTTTTAACAGGCTGTAACTACATTGTTGTTCAACAAATTAGACCCAAGTATATAATTATTTAAACAGGCTGCAACTACATTGTTGTTCAACAAATTAGACCCAGGAACATGATTATTTAAACACGCTGAAAATACATCTTTGTTGAACAAGTTAGACCCAGGTACATAATTATTTTAATCATGTACCTGGGCCTAAGATCAGCAACAAGTAAAATGTTATGATAACATTATTTTCATCTGACACCTGAATGGTGATCTCGTTGTTATTAATCATATATTTTCTCAAATCAAATTATGATTTTGTTTATATATTTTCGCAGAAGTATTAATGACCTTGCTGATATCTTTATCTAGATCGAACAGTGATCGTATTGATACTTTTATCCAAATCGACAAGGATCTTATTGGTATCTTTATCCAGATGGAACAGTGATCGTATTAATACATTTAACAAGATCGAACAGTGATCAAATTGCTACCTTTTCCAGAGGCTACAGTTTAGCTGAACACTCTTGTATGAGCTTTCTCTTGATTGGTTTATAAAGTAGTTATTTGTCATAAACAGCTATAGTTCAATAATATTGTCTGACGTATAAAACACGTCAATTGTTCGTGATCCATAATGTATAGAATTAAATAGTTTAATGACTAAAGCACGTGCTATTGTTAACAAATTATTTCCCCTTCTTTGAAAAAAAAAAAAAAGAGAGAGAGACGTGAAAAATAAAATAACTTGAAGTATAAAACATTTAGTTCGCCCAAGTATTTGAATTAATTGCTATGATACTCGAAAATTTTAGATGGCGACACACCTACAACCAGTAACGAGGGTACACGAGCTTTCTATAAATCTATCGTAATACAAGGATGTCATTAAAACTCTGCATTAATTGATTTGGTCATCAGAGAAAAACAAAATGAAATTTAGCAACGTAACAATTTCAAAGACATTGGCGATACTACACCGAAAGAAAAAGTACCGTATATTGAGCCTCATATTATTAGGAGTGGTTATTCTAAATGATGAAACAAGTATATATATATATATATTACGCAAAGTCTTATTTATAAATAAATAAAGGGAAGACTGCTCACCTAACATTTTCACGACAGCTCTGCGGGAAGAATAGGTAGAACGTTTCACAGATTGCTTCAACTCTGACTTCACTCCATTTGTGTTGTTGGAGTTGTCCTCGCTGTGGTCCAGTCCTGTGGACCTTCTTAGTTTCATCCCAATAAGTATGTACAACACAGTTATCAGCGTCATCGGAAAGATGAAGAAAAGAAAAGTGGATATCTCGAAAGCGTGGTTCAGAGGGTTTTTCAAAGTACAAAAGACCTGGACAATGCCAAATTGTATGCCCAGAGGAACAGCACATAACGCACTGAGTAGCCAAATACCCACGATGACCATGATTGCCCTAGACAACTTTGACATTGTGTGGGCTCGGAGTGGATGACAGATGGCCAAATACCGCTCCACAGTGAAGGCCGTGATGGTCAAGATAGAAGCATTGGTAGAGGTCTCTGAAGTCAAGCCCCTAAGGACACAGAAATACTCTCCAAAAACGTATGGATAGCGTTGCCACAACTGGTACATTTCTTGTGGAAGACCCAACAGTAGCAGAAGAAGGTCAGACACTGCCAGACTGAAGAGGTAGTAGTTGGTGGCTGTGTGCATATAGTTGTTTCTTGCAATGACCACACACGTGCAAATGTTGCCTACCATTCCACTAAGTAGAATAACCGCATAAATCAGGGTCATAGGAATTACTGTGGATAATGGGTCTCTCTTTGGACCAAAGTTCATATCACTTTCATTGTCGCTCTCGTTATTTACTGCAGGAATCAGAGTTATAAGGACTGCATCAGTTGGTGGAATGAAATAAAGTGTACTTTCTGTACCACGAGGAATAATGTCAGCCATCTTGGATATTAGTTGTTGTTGGTTTTCTTTTACATACCAAAAGTTACTGATTTCAGATTCAAATATTGATATTCTTCTTGCAAGTTTATTTGTTTTCACTGTATCGTCAACTTATGTATTATGGAATAGAGTATTGTAAGAGATTCATCCACAGTTAGTAAGCTGAAGAACATGAGGGTAAATGCAAGGAGAGAAAACTAGTTAGAGTTTACAAGCTGATTACCCGCAGTGCGTGATATGACCTCTAACACAACTGTGCCAAGTGATTTAGAAAAGTGGGCTTAATATAGTTGCCATAATATCGCGCTGCTTCTAGAAGATCTACTGATTCACACTGCTTCTTACGCTGCCAACAAGCCAGGGTTTTTATGTGTTACTGATGACGTTTAAGGTACGTCAGAGAGCACGTGACCTTGGTGTTCTAGTGTGTAATGCTATTGACGTTGTTGAACCCTCGCGTGTGCCTCCTTCATCGAACTTATTCCAAGGCTACATATGAAAGAGATAGAAAGTAACTTTAGAAATAAAAACCAGAAGGTTTGAATTAACTAATACACGATCAGAACAGCAACCTCAGGCATTTTGATCGATTACAAATAATTTAATTTAATAATATCGCTTCTGTTGGAAAAAATACAAGTGTATTTTATATCATAATGTATTCTATATCATAGAGTAGTTTATATCACAGTGTATTCTATATCATAGAGTATTTTATATCGTAGTGTATCCTATATCATAGTGTATTTATATCGTAGTGTATTCGATAACATAGAGTATTTTATATCATAGTGTATCCTATATCATAGAGTATTTTATATCGTAGTGTATTTTATATCGTAGCATATTTTATATCATAGTGTATTCTATGTCATAGAGTATATTATATCGTAGTGTATTTTATATTGTAGTGTATTTTATATCATAGAGCATTTTATATCTCAGTGCATTCTATATCATATTGTATCTATCATAGTGTATTCTATATCGTATTGTATTCTATATAATAGTTGTATTCTATATCATAGTGTATTCTATATCGTATTGTATTCTATATAATAGTGTATTCTATATAGTATTGTATTCTATATCATAATGTATTCCATATCGTAGCTACAATAACATGTAACTTGATTTTTCTTATAAATTAAAAAAAAACAATGCATCGCCGCTTCGGAAAGTGGCAATAAAATATAGAGTTAAGAGTCACTTTATATAAGCGACGAACAAACAGTTTAGTTTAGAGTCACTTTAGATAAGTGACGAACAAACGTTTAGTTTAGATTCACTTTAGATAAGTGACGAACAAACGTTTAGAGCACTTTTTATTGCTTCAGACCTGCTTTTTCTTCTTCTACTTTCCTATTGTTACACTCCTATATTAAAAGTGTTAATTGTCAACAACACCTCAGATGTGTTAATTATCGAGAAGACATAAGTTGTGTTAATTGTCAAGAAGACATGGGATGCGTTAATTGTCAAGAAGATATGAGATGTGTTAAATCTCAAGGAGACATCAGATGTGTTAATTGTTAAGAAGACATCAGAAGTGTTAATTTTTAAGAAGACATCAGATGTGTTAATTGTTAAGAAGACACCAGAAATGTTAATTTTTAAGAAGACATTGGATGTGTTAATTGTCGAGGAGATATCAGATGTGTTAATTGTCAAGGAGACGTTACACGTGTTAACCTTCAAGAAGACATCAGATGTGTTAACTTTCGAGGAAGCATCGGGTGTGTTAATTACTCATAGAAAAATATATCATCTAAGAAGGTTAAATTGTTAACATACTATGTGATGAACTATTGCACTTAGAGATAGTTTAGTAATGATTTTGAGAAGAAGTTATTGCGATTAAGAAATGTCATAGACAAATCAAAGTAAAATCTTTTGCATCAGAAAATCAGCGATTCTTAGTAAATCTCTGGGAAAATGAAGCCAATTCCATCACTAATAAAGGCTTTAGTGGGAAGAACAGCTTAGTAACCTTCTGTATGTGATTTTGCTTTAATGCTAGTCAAATCATGGATTACTTGGCTTTGGTATTGTAGATATGTAGGTTTTATAAATCGCGATTAGATGATTCAAGGTGAAACATCTCTTTTATTGAAGTATTTCCGCAACAATACAGATTTCTTGACGTGTGTAAACTAGATAAATTATAAGTTATCCTGTGCTATAATCGACCTTCATTCGCCGTGTTTCCAAGTAGAACGTATTCGATGCAATCTTACTAAGCTTTTGTGTAAGGGCGGTAATTTGATTAGCTAAGCCTTACGTATCACATCTTCCTTCGCTGATCCCTACTCGAATAAAGGCAGACGGACTTTTATTCTATGTAAACGGATCACATACACAGTTTGAACAATAGACAGCAGCTTGGTTTTTGGAAAGTAGTTTCAGAATTTCAATCATTTTGAAGAGAATATTTGGGACAGTAATACGATACAGATATTAATAATTTAAGGAAGTATTCGATTTCTGAATTGTATATGTATATTGTATTACAAGAGGAGTAACATGAGATGTTTATATGAAGGATTAACCAATGTATTTGGAGAAGAAACTGCTTTGTTTTTAAAGTTAAAGTACTGATATTTTGAAATCAATTTTCTCAATACGTTTGTTTATGGTAAGCTTGAAGCATTAGGCTTAGGAGCAAGATACTCTGTCTTGAGCGCTCTGAGCAAGGATATATGATACGCGCGTTTCACTATACTTCCATACTGGTACTGAAACATCACGTTTGATAAGCATCGCACTTCCTGTAAACAAACAATAACTGGCATGGATAATGATTGTAACAGGTAATAACACTGATAACCATCAAATAATATCTTACTGTGATATAAATGCCAACCAACAGAACACCTTAGAACTTAATATTAACAACTAATTTTTTCAAGTTTTTTTTTTTCTCATAGAAAATTTTGCAAATTTTTTCAGTTTACTTGATAGTTTGTAGTCAAGTGCGAACCTACACAATGGACTATCTGTTCTGTGCCCACCTGGGGTATCGAAACCCGGGATTTAGCGTTATAAGCCGTCAGACTTGACGCTGTGCCACTGATGGGCTTTTACAATGTTATGTAATGTATATCTATAACGTATTTGAAAAAGATGTTACAAATAAGCCAATTCTTTCACGTTCCCTTCTATAACAACGGAATGAGCCTTTCACCAGTTTAGCCTCTAGCAAAAAAAGTGACTTAGTATTTGTTGTGTTCGACATAGGATATTAAAATCATGCTTAATAAAGAAACAAAAAAGAAAGTCTATTATTAAAAGAAGTTTTACAGAAAACATTAAAGAAATCGGAAGATAAGTTAAGAGCAAGAAAGAAAGGAAATGTATAAAACTTTTGAAAAACTGAAACACAAACTGAGTAATGATTTTTTAATTCGTTCTATAAACTACAGAAAAAGTATTAATGGAACTCGACAAGTTTGGATCCTGATGGAACTTTAAATCTAATTTGGAGCGATAAATATGTTGTAGACCCTAAGGAAATAAAACGAAATAAAAAAGGAGTGAAAAAGCTTTACTTTACTGTGTATATCCAGTCATTTTTTATTTTCCTCACGCATAAATATGCTATATAAGCTATCTTAACGGTATAATTATTCGTGAATACGCCAGTTTCAGTTGTGATATGGTATTATTATTATTCGTGAACACGCCAGCTTCAGCTGTAATATGGTGTAATTATTCGCGAATATGCCAGCTTCAATTATGATATGGTATGATTATTCGCGAATACGCCAGCTTCAGCTGTGATATGGTATTATTATTCGCGAACACGCCAGCTTCAGCTATTATATGGTATTATTAGTTGCGAATACGCCAGCTTCGGCTGTGATATTGCATTATTATTTGCGAATACGCCAGCTTCAGCTGTGATAGGGTATTATTAGTTGTAAATACGCCAGCTTCAGCTGTGATATGATATCATTATTCGCTAATACGCCAACTTCAGCTGTGATGTGATATAATTATTCATGAATACGCCAGCTTCAGCTGTGATATTCCTATTAGAACATTAATAATCAATAATCATGCTTTACTGAATATGTTGTAACTTTTGTACACATTCTTCAAAGTTTTCTAATGTGTTGTCGATTGTGAAAATAGGCAGCTTAAGTTAGTTGATAACTAAAGAAGACAAATTAATGAAGATCGGGAACAGCTTATATTAGTTTGAATCTAAGGTGGGCAAGTTGAGGACAGCTTAAGTTAGCCTGAAACTAAAGAGGACAAATTGAGACAGCTTAAGTTAGTCTGAATCTAATAAGGGCAAATTGAGTATAGCTTAAATTAGTCTCAATTTAAAAAAGGGAAAATTGAGGACAACTTAAGTTATTCTGGATTTAAAAGGGGCGAATTGAGGACAATTTAAGTTAGTCTGAATCTAATAAGGGCAA